TCAGATCATATATATATATATATATAACTTCTAAAATATTATCATAAAAACAAAAGATAAAAGACATGAGTTAATGAAAGTGATAATAACTCTAAATAATATTATCATAAAAAAATATTAAAATATCTTTATCAAAAAATAACATCTAAAATTTAATAAGTGTGATGATTTTTTAAAATTTAATATTTTTATTATTTGTTGTAATATTTTTAATATATGTTGAATACACATACCAACCAGTTCACATATAGAAAGATTGAGTTTAGTTGAAGATAATTTCCTCAGGCTAAGTCATTGTTCATTAAGGAATTTTCAAAAAATACCTACAGACAGCACAGAATCGAACCCAAACCCAAAGTATTCAAGTGAAGGCAGTTCAATCCTGCAATAATCAATTGATCATCATTTACCTTATCACGCTTATGAGATTCACCTCAATACTCTTGAAAATGAAAATACACTTTCACCTTTTCTGAAAATACTTGCAAGTTACAGTCTGAATATAAGAAAAGTGAACAAATATATAAAGTAAAAAATAAAAAAGTATTTACTGCCAATTTATAGTTAATTAAAATCAGAGTACTTTAATTACAAACCAAAAATATATACACCTTTCCTCATTTTACTAACTAAATAAATTTAATATGCATTGATATAGACCATAAGTATCTTCCGCTAAAGAGTGAGAATAATTTTATTAAAATTAAAAAATAAGCTTATTAGAACCAGATAAATCCATTATAGACGAAAAACTCTATCCAAACATTTAACATATCCAACATTCGAACTTTAATTATTTTAACAAATGCAATATTAAATTTCATCCATCAAATTAAAATTAACTATTCAAATCATGTATTTAATTACAAATATCAAACTTTAATTAGAAAACAAAAAAATCATGTGAAAGTTATAAATAAATTGGAAATATAAGCCATTAACTTCAATTTAAAAACTAATTAAATAATTTTTTTTATGGTAGTACCCAATTAATAAGCTCCGTATTTTTAGTATAGGTTCTCGACACAGGACTTACCGAAATGTTATAATATCACATCGATGTAATTTTGTTGCATTTCTCATTTCTTCACATGGTATAAAGTATATAAACATATACACAACTAACTTTTCACTGCTTCATTTAGTACAAAATCAAGGGATTGGCGATTTGTTGTTCTCTCTTTGTTCATAAATACAAAAGAATCCACCTATGCCATTGCAATTTCAAGTGTCGAGTTTTGTAGAAAAAGATGCAGTAAATCACTCTGCTTGTAACCTGTGTAGAGATTAATTAGAGAGCCCACACTCTTGATCAATCATCGATCTCGAAGGTCAACAACATCGAACTTCAAGTTAGCATTCATATAGACATGAGAGCAGTGCTCATATATTGGACTTCCATCCGAAGGCTCTTCATGCGGATGAAATCCACGTTGTTGACAGTTACGAATTACAGACACACCACCCGGATCAGACAGATGAAATATGCCATGTGGACTGCATTCCCAAAACAAATGCATCTAATTAGTCACAAAGTTATATAAATCAAAATAAATAATCATTTATTTTCAAATAAACTATCTAAAATAGAGCATTAGACTTCTCATTTCCGTGCCAAAGGCAACAAACTTGGAATAGTTTGAGATACAGCTGATAGTATCAATATCAACAAGTAGGTTGTAGTAAGCTTCTACATGTCAGTCATTTTTTTACGAATTGAACTTTCTAAAAGCGCTAGTACTATCATTGCAAGATATTTGTCAAGGTTCTACTGCTTATTGATGTGTCATTTGTTACAAGATAAAGTCCTCACAGTCCTCACAGTCCCCACAGAATCAACTAATTGCTAAGTAAATGTTTCTTGTCTGTAATAAGCAAAACACAGAATCGAAGGCAAATGATTCCGGCCACTTGGGCTGGGGTTTCGGAGAGGGACTTGGGAGCAGTGGCAAGTTGATTTTACAACTTGTTAACCAACATTTTTCCTTGGATACATATAATAACCCTATCGCTTTTTACCATAAAGGTTAATCAATTATAATATGCCCATTATTGATGATGTATGAACTAAAACCCAAGCCGAGCAACACAGAATAGGGGGAAAAAATTGTGTAAATTATTCAAGAAAAAAAATCCTTCATTATATTCATACATATTTTATGATCTTTCCTCCGTCCACCACAAGGCACAAGCAAAGGAGAAAAATATCCCCTAATCCAATCTCAGATCATATGATTGAGTTTTAAAGGGCCTGGCATGTTCTTGGGAAAAAAATGTGTAAAATGAAGCCCACAAAACTTGGACTTCGACTGGGTTATTGCATATATTTCCTTGTTTAATCTATGATGATCATTGAGACATTGATGAAATACATAGTTGGAGATAGAACTTACCTTGCAGTATCTGTAGGGGCCATGACAATAGCAATTGCCTCCGGTAACATGATCTGGAATGAAACCACAAAATATACACCCTATCACCAGTTAGGTACAATTAAAATGAAATATAGACATGACATATACAGTTACTGATAGTTATAGATTCTTATATTAAATTGAGAAAATAAAGCTCGTACTCCAATTGTTTTCACTAAAATCTTATACTCAAGTTATTGGGCCTTGTTCTGTCACACATTATACTCTAAATTGTCATGCAAGTTAGATCAAAATCCATGACACCATCAACTCTTTCATCTTAACAATCTGCGGCACTATCCAGCATTAGTACAACTATTTCTTGTCTAGGCCCCATTATGAATAGAGGGCTATACCAACTGCTTTAGCATTTTAACCTTTAATGTGAAAATCCAGGAAATTGAAATTACAGTGCCATATATTACCTGATATGAGTAATGAGTGTGCAGATCCACGGAAGACATGAAACAAGTCTGTGACGGATGTGTCTGAAATTGAAAAAAATAAGATAAGACATCTAAAGTTTGTAAACTACAAGAGTCGGTTAAAGAAACAAATGGGTAAGAGTCACAGAAAAAAGTGTGCTTGATATAAAAGGCTTGCTATCTTCAATCGTACCAATTAATAGGGTAAAATCTGTTGATGCATGCAATCATCAAAACATCAGCATGCAATGGCTTATGGGATCTTTGGTAGTTACTAACTCAAGAAATTCAAGACTGCTAAAGTCATCTTTAAGACAAAGATAAAAGACATGAAAGCGGGTGACAACTAAAAGAAACAGTTTTTCCCTGTTAAATATCTTGCATCAGAGTAAACTCCAAATCCCCGGGAAAGAAAAGGGAATGAAAAGGATGAATTTTCTTCCTTTCATTCTTATCATAACTCATCAACTTCACTAAGTGCACTTCAATATGCTTTTCCACTTCCCTCAAAGCATTATTAATAGAAAAATATGACAGAAAGAATTATTTTGCCAAAAACTTTGATCAAATGATTTGGCATGCTTGTTGATTCTTAGATGAGTCAGGGGTCCCTACCACTTTATTTCATCAAACAGCTCCCTTAAATTCTGTCAAAACTCTGGTCTTTTTTTTGTTTCCTCTGACACATTTCTCATGTTTCAGAAGGTAAATAATTGGATAATGGATAATTTAAGTGTAACCAGTTCGATTCAAAGTTTATATCAGGATTACAAAGAGAAGCAAGTAATTGATAAATAATCCTTATACCTACTACTCTAAACATGACAGCAAGACAAGTTTCATTGGCCAATACTTTTATTAGAAAATAGAAGCCTTCAATTCATGAGGTACAAAAGCAGAAAAAACAATATATGAAGTTTTTTGCTGTAACCACCCAGGATAAAAGAACGTATCAACATATTACTCATGAATATATAATCAAATGAATGAACAAGTAACAGCCAAGATTAATGAAGCACTTACATGTATCCAACCTAAAGGAAAAAGTGATAAGCTGTCTTGAACTTCAAATATTTCTTCTTCATTCAATGTTGAACACTGGATAATAAAATTCAATTAGATGCACTATTGCTGAATGGAAAAAATAACAACACACGGTAGAAAGAAAAAAAATCATTAATGAACCATGAAAAATTACAATCCATTGGATCTCCTACAATTAATAAGTACATGATATTGTGCTAGTTCTATTAATATATGAGTGAACTACTAAATTAGTTCTAGAGATTGTGTAAGTTGGGCATTTTAGTTTTAAAAATTTTAAAAACCCTCCATTAGTCCCTAATTTTGCAAAAAGTTGTTTAATTTAGTCTTTTTCTAATTTATTTTCCATTGTCTTTTTGCACCAAAAAAGACTAAAGTAAATAAACATTTTGCAAATTCAGACTAATGAAGGATTTTTAAAATCTTAGCGATCGAAATGCCAAACACATACAATCACCCAGGACAAATTAGGAAGTTTACTCATTTATATACTGTATGAAATTATGCATTATGTCTTTTCCTATTTTGGTGAATATAAGTATATAACCAGTACATCATTTTACAATTTGATAGCAACCCAGGCATTTAATTAGAAACTGGAAATAAAACCCAATTACAGGACTTTGAGGGTTTGCTTCCTCCCTTCCCTAAGGCCCAATTCCTCACTCAAATTATGCCTACCTTCTACCCTCCCATTCTCTTTGCATTTATCCCCATTCAACCCATTTCAACTTCCATGTGGGCTAATTCACTGGCTTTCTTTTTACCATTCCTCATGTACAGCTTACTGAGCTCAGTACCAAGGGATTGATCCCAATCATTTGAATTCCCAAGGATAATTCCACTAAAATTGACTAAAGAACCAGCTGTCTTTAAAAATAAGTGCTAATAATTCTAATTTACAGCAACATTGGAGGTTGAACCAGAAGTTCCACTAAAATGTTAAGAAATTATCTAAAACCAACCATTACCAATTATTATGCAAGATTTTCCAATCATAACATCTGTGCGCCTCAACCTCAAACGAATATTAAGGTTTTATTTTTTCCGACAGGATATAGTTGGGTCCGGAGTAAGATAAATGCAAAAAATGAAGTTTTTAAACCATGGAACGACAAAGGAATAGTCACTAGGACACAGTATAATAGCATGTAAAATAAAATCAAATAAAATATATATAACACAAGAAAAATGACCATTATCTTACCGAGTCTGAAGTTGATTCCTGCTTTGGAATTATAAGTGTCGTGATATGGAATACCCTTTTTTTCTAGAGCCACCCATATTGCAAGCACAAATAACTTGTTAAAATTATCTCCACGAGACTTTCTAAAATTTGGAAGCACACAAAATAATGATATATCTTACCAGGGACCCAGCAAGAACACCACATGTCTCTAAGTTCTTCCGTGTGTTTGCTGAAGCTAATCTCAAAAAGTCTTCCATCATTTTGACAGGCTGCAACATAAAGTGAAATTATAATTTTTATTAGTATAAGAACTAAAAGAGCCAAAACAAATAAAAACAAGTCACAATGAAGGACCAACAAAATCCGAGATATATGTCACACACTTCAATTAGAAAACTAAAATAGGCTTACAATATGAAGGTGTTGATATGTAGTTGGACCAACTCCAGAATCATTAGAAGATTTAGCTGGTCCTGGCCTTGGATCTGCAACTTTTGAAGGAGGAATAGGGGCACATTCTGGGTAAACCTGAGCAAGAACAGGAGGAGGCAAAGGTTGCTTGATGTTGAGCAATTGTAAAGGTTCCTCCCTTGATTCAGTAACAACAGGAGAACAGGACTCAACAGCAGGATTCAACCATCTTCCATCGTCCAAGGAGAGAACCGAGTCCATTGTGGATGTAACTGGTTCTTGATCACCATCTTTAATTGCCACAAGATCATATTGCCCAGCCTGATTCAGGCTATCAGCATGGACAACAAAATAGTGTGTTAGACATTTATATTTCAGAGCAATAAAGCTAAACATAACACCTTAGAACAATACATGACATTAAAATTTCAGTATATTTTCATAATTAGATGGCATTACAAACTAACAATGAGAAACAACCATATATTAATAAAATGAAAATAAAATAAAATAGTTTCAATAGAAGAATACTAACTGTAATGACCAGAGAAATTGACCACAAAATCCAGAATACAAAAGATTAAGAACATGGGGATTGTGCAATTTGTACGACAAGAAATCATGAATATATGAAACATAAAAAGGACCAAACCAATTTCAAATTAGAATAAGCTAGTCAAACCTTGAATCCTTGGCATGTGTGAGATCACTACTGCTTGGATATTGAACCTGCACAACATTGAATACCAATATTGTTAGAATATATGAAAATACAAATTTAGAGTAGCCTAGATTATCTCCTACGATTGATTTCCATATTACCTTACATTTCATGATATTAGTGTTATAACATAAGTTTTGTAACACATCACATCATATCAAGTCAACATCAATGCTAGAGTATTCAATATATATTTTCTCCTCTTCCTCCCTCTAACTAAAGCCCTATACTTTCATCAAATATCAAAAATAGATAATCATATTTACACCACATAATAAACCCACACTTCAATTTTACCTTTATTTCTGCACTAGGTCCAAGCCATTGGCCACGAAGACCATTTGGTCCTAAAAATGAATGTCTGGACAAAGTATCCTTATTTGGAGGGGGTAGACTGAGAGATCTGCATATAGTCCAAGTAATAGATATTATATTTCTTCCTTTAATATAGCAGCATTTTCTTACTTTTGAAATGTATCTTCAATGTTCAAGAGAGAACCTCCTAAAATCACCAGGATAATAAGAAGTAAAGAAACAAATTTGCTACTGAAAAACAAAAAGGTGTTACATACTCTTACATAACCAACCACAACATATTGAGTTTTGGCTGCCAATTAAATAAATCATTAGATTTAGAATTTGATCCAGTGAGGTATGGAAGCAGTAAACATATTGAGTTTTGCCTGCCTATAACAGTAAACATTTGATAAAACAAAACACTCTTATTTGTTGTCTTATATGAAATTCACTTGGACATCTAAATGAACAAAAGCAAAACTAAATGCAGAAAAATAGAGGAGCAAAAAATGAGTAAGAGCAATCTCACTCAATTCATAATTTTCCTGGCCACTAATTTATCTTCCAGAATGGCCAAAACCCAAAAGTAACTCAACAAAGATTTGATCTTAGCAGTACACCTGTAAATTGTAGAAATTTCAATAGAATATGATCGAGTAGAAAAACTTACAGTTTCTGAAACTGCTTGTCAATAGGCCTGGAATTTGAAGATAACATATTATTGTAATTCCATGAAGTGTTTGAACCCAATCCAGCAGGCTGCAGATATGTTGGGAAAACAAAAGGTTGACACCAGTAAACAGTATGAACCACAATTCAAGCACATTAGAGCAGAAGAATTGGAAGTTTTGTGCAATTTACATAATTTCTTCACAAACGCATATTGATATACAAAAAGGTATAAGCAAACAAAAAGAAATTCTAAAATGAAAATTTTCAAGAGCTACAAATTGTACCAAGACAAGACATCAGACACAGCACAAAGAGATCGAGAATTTTCCATATCCAGAAATTTACTAAAACAATATCTTGAAGTCCTAACCTGTTTAAAATCCATGCTTAAGTTATAACTTTTATTAACAGCCGGCCATTCCAAAGAAGAATTCACTGAACTTTGCAAGGCCTTATTAGAGCCATTTTCTTGAGGCAATGGAGCTTTTACATGTGACTCATTCAATTTTTCCACCCGGCGTTTAAATTCAGGCTTCAAAGATTCAAGCTCATTTAGTGCAACTCGCGACCTCTGTAATGGAATAATGACAGAAAGAAAAGGAGAACAGGACCAAATATCAAATATAAAAAGATCAAAGTAACAATTAAACAGACGCTAATCCACCATAAAAAGTGGCACAGCAGTTTCTCACCTTCTTATATGCTGCCCTTTCACTGGCCAGTGAAACTTGATAATCTCGATGATATGGTATAGTCTCAGAAACCAAACTTTAAAAAAAAATTACAATAATAGGCACAGTGAGGAAAAACGGAAAATGCTATACCCAATTTAACTGAAAACTAACAAACCCACCATAAAGACAAACCTTGGAACTTTTATAATTTACCTTATAAATCTAAGGAGGATGATATACAAGTCAACTACATTATTCTCCTCCCGGTAGATACCTGCCTGCAAAAAAGAAAAAAATTCATCACTCCAGTGAACGAACTCACCTAGAAGGAACACAGTAAACATCCAAAAGCAACAACCATATATGTACATCAAAGTCCAAGCTGTTCAACTTATACACAAAACTTACTATGACTAGTTCTAGTGCATGGTAGCATAATGAAGTTAGCACAGATATTCCCAAATAGGTTCCCTACCACAATCACTCACAACATTCTCAGTTCCCTCTCTGCGACTAACATACAAATCTTATATTGATTTCTTATTTTTTCTTTGGTCTATAATTTTATATTGACTTGTAACTATTATGATATGACAAAGATAAGCAAGCTGTGATCACATAAAACACTTTTTAATTAAGTTGTGTGGTGTATGGCATCGTTGATAGATTATAACAAGGGCCAGAAACAAGCCTGTTTAACTGATCCTAAATAGCATGAATTAGTCACACAATCATAATCAAAAGCTACAGGGGAAACAAGGATTAAAGGTTCTTCTTCGCATACGAATTCGTTAATTGTAAGCACCGAAGCAGAAACTAATAAACGAAAAGGATCCTATATTTGGGTTCGAGAAGGTTCGAGTGATGATAATAAGGCAAAGCCCTAACGTAATTGAGGATGAAGCAATCAGCATTTAAATGGAGAAATTGAAGTAGTGATTTACCTGCTTGAGGAGGTTATCGGCAATCCGATAGTAATAGCGAAGGGGAATGCGGTTATCAACCTCGATTTTGCGAGCGACCGAATCCAAGTCGATGGTCATCTTCTCGGGAAAGGAATGCCAGTGCAACACGCCTCCAATCGATTAATCAAACTTTCTCTCTGTGTGAAATTCACGAGCACGTTTCCGAGTTGACGGTGGAAACCGGGAAGGAAAGATGATCAAAGTGCGTGTGAGTCAAGTTGTTAGATAATTAAACTCGTCGTTTTGAACGAAAGAGCCACTCTTCTCATTTTATAACTTCCACCGCATACACCACCACGACATAGTGAGTACATACACAACATACCAATCCTACACTTCATATATTTTTTTTATATATAGTATTATATAACCATATAACATGTGTTCATGAAAATTAAATTATTTTAATAATTCATTATATGAATAATTAACTATAATAATAATGGGTTATAATTCAAATAAAATTTTGTTCAGATAAATTTGTTGATAAATGATTTTAAAATGTCTAGTTTTATTTGAATATATAAAAATATATTTTTTATGTAGCAAATTAATTTTAAAAATTGTTAAAATAATCATAAATTTCATAAAAACATCTTATTTTCCAAGAAAAAAAATGTTGTTTATAAATTTAACTTGATGTTTATACGCACAATTTTTATATTTGTTGACAGCTATTTTTTTTTCTTTCTTAAAATAGCTAGAATGAGAGATTATAATTTTTCCCAAACATTTTTCGAACAAAATTCTAGAATGGGATATAAGAGAAATGTTTCCAAGTTTGTTTTCAAACAGATTCGAACATCAAGTCCACTTATATTATAGATTAAAATACATAAATGTTTATCTCTTTCAATATTATGGTGGCAAAAAAATCTCTTTCAATATTATATCTTATACTTTTTTATTTTAATAGTATGTTTACTCGTGTTCTACATGAGTGTTTTGGTTTAAAATATATTTTAATAATAATAAATATATTAAAAATAATAATTTATTTTTTTACCAAAATATATTTATATCATTCATTAACAGTAAACTGTTCAATAAGGAAAAAAACATTATTGAAAGTATGAAAATTAAGTAAAGATGGAATTATCCTAGTAAGCTCATGAGTAACACCATTTTATTATCTCTTAACAAAATCTAAATCATAGATTGGATTGTGAGATAAAAAATTTTACAATCTTCTAGTAAGCTTCCTAGTTTAGATAAAAAAAATTGCAACCTTCTAATTTGGCTCCTAGTCCACATTTATCAATAGTTAAACTTCGTATTTCATCTATTATTAATTTGCAATCCAATTCAAATATCACATTATTCATGTTCATAGAGACAATAAATTGAATTGGTGATAAAATTATTCACGCCTGACCTTCTTGAACATCCATACAATGTTGTTGTCGATAAGTTGAACCTTAATAAAGATAATCTAAATAAAAATTAAGTCATTTTAACTTTATTTGCATAACTTGATAGGTTAAATGGATTAGGTCAGGTTATCTTGATGGAAAAAAAAATTAATACTAATAATAATTATTTAAAAAATAATAAATTAAAATAGAATACATTGAAATATAAGTTTTGGATTGCAATATTTTTTTTGCCTTTTGTCATCTTTTAAAAAAATATTGAAGAAAAATCAGTAAAATAATTACTTCTTTATCCTCCAAATTGAAAACATTTCTATTTTCACTAAAATGAACACAAATAATAACAAAGATAAACCAATTTTTTAAATCAAAATATTTTTTATGTTTTTTTATATAATTTTCTCTTGTTATTATTTTTTAATTGAGGTCAATTTAACTGGTCTAATAGCTCAACATGGGGTAGGTTGAACAAAAAAATAACCATCAAAAAATAATATAAATCAATTCAATCTAGTTCAAAACATCATTTGACCTATGTAGGTTGAATTGGTTCAATCTATTTGATAGCTCTAAATATATAGAAGTTAATTTTAACGAGGAATTACTACATAAAAAACTTATAAAAAATTATGTTCTTAATTATCACTTAAAGAGAATTTATTGCATGAAGAACTTATAGAAAATTATTTTTAATTACTAGATGAAAATTTATACTAAAAATAGTGATAAAGATAATATGTAAAATAATATGATATTAGTATACTTATCATTTAATATCTTTTTCATATAATAAATATTAAATATTAAAATAAATAACACTACCCTAATATCAATGATATGTAAAAAAAATAAGAAGAGAATAAAGTTAAAAGATCGACGAAAGATAAAAATGACCATATGTTTAGGTCGTTTAGTTTTTGATAAACTTTAAATAAAATATAGTTTTCATCTTCAATTGAAGATACTTTACTGTTCTTAGTTCTTAGTAATGGGGAAAAAAATGCATTGTCATGTGTATTTCACCGCATATGGATGTAATTATGGATGATTGTAAAACGAATTGGCTGACCTGCCAAATTATAAAATTGACTAGACGTCCTAACTTTCTTATCCAATGATAAATTAGTAGACTGACAGGTTAGTTTATTATTTTTTTAAAAAAAAATTAATATTTGTTTTAATATCCTTTTTAACATAATTATTTTTTAATATCTAAAACATTGACATAAATTAATTATATTAAGAAAAATAAATGTGATTATATCGCGAACCTTAAATCTAACAACCAAACCCTAAACTTAAATGGGCTATCCTAAGGATATATCATGATCCTATTCAGCTAATGATATATACACTTTTTTTTTAATAAGTACATTTCCTTTATTTTTAATTTTTTTAAAATATTTAAATTTTTGTATTTTTAAAATTTTTAATTTTACATCTCTAACTTTTAATTTATTATTTTTTCTTTTCACATACCTCCTTTCTCTCTTTTCCAGTTTTTATAAGTACTATCTTATCTCCCTTTAATTCATTACCTATTTCAGTGGGTAGTTTCAATTCTCTCAATTTTTATATTTCTCTTTTATTTTTTCACTTCTTTCACTTTTTCACATGCACCCAAATTATAAAATTAGTAGGCGAGAACATTATAGGTACGTGTAGCTTCATCGATAGTTTTTATCAAATTAGACACACATTTTTTCTTTCAACACTTCATTTACTCTCACCTCTTCAAAAACTTTAACATTAAATTTAGTGTTATGAAAAAGATATTTTCATTATTCTAGAGTACTATGTGGATAGTGAAATTAGTGAGAAATCTGAAAAAGGAAGAGAAAAAGAATAATATAAAACTAAAAAAATTAAAATTACTTACCAAAATAGGTGGGGGTGAAGAAAAATTAAGAAGGTACATGTGAAAATAAGGGAAACATGTGAAAATAAGGGAAAGAGATATGTAAAAAAAGTATTAAATTAAATGTTAGGAATGTAAAATTAAAAAATTAAAAATAAAAAATTAAAGATATTTTAAAAATTTAATTTTTTTTTAAAAAGGGGTGTACTTATAAAAAAAAAAGGAGGTGTATATATCACGATCCTATTCTCAAATAGATCTCAAATAAGCGGAATGAGTATCATGCCAACTAGGGATGAACATAAAATCGAGACCCGATAAAAAATATTACTTTTGGGTGAGTTCGAGCGTGTTTTATGGGTAAATCAGGTTAAAATTTTGATTTTATAAGGGTTATATTAGGCAGGTTTGGTTTTAAATTTTTAAATCCGCTAAAAATCGAACCCAACCAAAAAATAAGTTAAGTTTAGATTTTTATTACTTTTGTATAACTAAACGACAATGATCCAAACTCAAAAATCTTTATTTCAAGTATAATATAGTCATCAATTTGTAACTTTTTTTTCTCATAACCCAGATATTTCTTTTGTCTTCTCCTTCCTCATTCAATTTCTCAACACACTAGTCTATTTTTAGAGTTTTATTTTTGTTTATTTCTTTATATTTATTTTTCATCTTCTTATCTCCATTTTAAGTACAACTTGTGTGAATGTGGTTTCTTATGAATTTTGTAATCTTTTAGATTTCTTTTGTATGTAACAACTATAGATTTTGTTATCTTTTATTTTTGCTTCTTTAGTTTGTTAATGTTTTATTTACGAATCTACTTACACCATCCATTGTTATCTTTATTCTATCTTTGTATATTGTTTTAAAAATATTTTTTTATCATTTTAAGTTTCACATTCGTTAAGATAACTTGATTCACAAAAAATCTAAAACCCGATTGTACTCACCCGCTCAAATTTAAATACGTTTCAACCCAAACTGCCTCAAACTGAAAAGTTTAGTCAGTTGAATACGGGTCACATTTTTTCAAAATTGATTTATAACGGGTTGAACATTTTTTTGCTCGAATCCGCGCGTTGTCCACCCCTAATGCCAACGGACCAGCCCGCACATCGAGGCCCATTTTATCATCATTGATGTGATTGTACCGGCCACGCGCACCTCTAGCATTGACACTTTGACAGCATGCAGGACTTTATCTTGAACACACTTAGGCTGTTAGGCACCATGTCTCTAACTTGTTCATTAAATTATTAAATACTTGCACCCAACCCCTCGTCTCTATTCCGAAAGTGTTATCCTTTCATTTTCCAGGAGTTTTGTTCCTCGAAGTAAGCACCCATCTTCTTCTTTGGGTATGAATGGATATGAAATCGCAGTTCTGATTTCTTATAGGTTGGTATACAATCCTCAATATATAAATTAAAATACGTTGTAGTTTTATTGAGTAAAAGTGTTTTAAGATAATAATAATTAAGAAAAACTTTGAATCATAATAGAAGTCATTTATCATAAACCTGAATATAGTTTATATGATACAAATATTTATGTATTATAAATTTTAATTATAGTATAACATACTTTAAATTTTATTATTGTAAATTTAAATATAAAATAAATATTACCATGTACTTTGTACAAGTTAAAATATTGATTAAATAAATAAAAAAAACTAATGAATGAAAGTATGAAACAAAATGAACCACGTAATTCATACACCATATAGAAAGGAATTTAAAATACTAGATGTACTTTTACTTTTACTTTTTTCTTCCATTCCTATTTCATCTCATCTTTTTCTCTATTTAATTTCTATTGCATAGTTTATCGTAACTCTTATTTATTCTTTCACCATTCCTTTGTTTTATTATTTTTTTTCTTTCTCTCTCTTGCTTTCACCCTATATACCCTTTTTGAGATACGCTTTTCCATTTTTGACTCCCACACCTAACTCCAAATTCTTGATATTTTTTCCCAAACTTTCCACAATTTATTTAATATGCTCCCTCCATTTTTTTTATTGTCTTTAAAGTTATATACAAAAAATTAAAAAAATAATTGATATTTTAATTTTTTAAAATATTTATTATTCATTTTTTTATTATACTCTTTAGATGATTAGAGAAAAAATAGGTATATTAAAAAATAAATAGATACAATATTATTTAATAAACATACATTAATTATTAAAAAAATATAAAAAAAAATTAAGAAATCATAAGTTTTAGAAAAGTGAAAATTAAAAAAAATAATAAAATACTAACAAAATGATTATGAAAAAAAATGGAGGGAACAATAGTAAGACTTGCATAGCAAACGACAAGTTTTTTTTTCCAAGTCTGATAAAAATTGCAAAGACTAATACTAACCACACATTTTTTGGTTGAACCATTTTTTCCACCACGTGTTTTATACTTTTTTGATAATGTACGTTGATTGCAAAATAATAGCGTAATTGAATAATTATGTACAATTTTTTATTTATTTGAGGTAGGAATTACTCGGTACATCTAATATAATAATATTAATGCCGTAATTCTTTAAATTCCACATTCCAAAGCACACTCCACACCACTCAGTTAAATTATCTACTTATTAGGATGATGGAGACCCAAGGTTCTGTAGCACTGGTGGTTGGTGTCACCGGGGTGACTGGGCTGAGCCTAGCCCAAGCCCTGAAGCAGCCGAGCTGTCTGGGAGGCCCATGGAAAGTTTACGGCGCGGCCCGCCGACCAGGGCCCAGTTGGTTCCCTCCTTCTATGGTGGACGAGTTGATCACCTTGGACGCTGTTGACTCTGGCGACACACGCGCGAAGCTTCTCCCCATAGCTGATGAGGTCACGCATCTTTTCTGGATCACCTTGCAGGTTCGTGCAGACGAAGAAGCCAACATCAGTGTCAACAAAAGCATGCTTCTCAACGTTCTCACCGCCCTCAAGTCCTCCTCTTCTTCCCGGCTGGCCCATGTAACGGTCCAAACCGGCACCAAACACTACATGGGCCCAATTTTCGACCCGGTCCTGTCCACCCAACTCGTCTGCCAGGAGCCACCCTTCGACGAGAACATGCCACGCCTCCCTTACCCCAACTTCTACTACGCGCTCGAGGATCTGGTTGAATCCCACGCGCCCTCGATTACATACTCAGTGCACCGCTCCTCCATCATATTAGGCGCCACCGCGAGAAGCTCATACAACGCGCTGTTGACGCTGGGGACCTACGCCGCAATTTGCCGCCACCTGGGGTTGGCGTTTCGGTACCCGGGAACGAAGTACACGTGGGAGCATTTCTGCGACATGACCGATGCGCGTGTCTTGGCGCAGCAGCACGTGTGGGCTGCGGTTACACCCGAGGCTAAGAACCAGGCCTTTAACTGCACGAACGGTGATGTTTTTATGTGGAAGAGCGTGTGGAAGCTGCTCGCTGAGGTTTTCGATGTGGGGTTTGTGGCGTTTGATGAAAGGGAAGAGTTTGATTTGGCGGAGCTGATGCATGATAAGGGAAGCGTTTGGGAAGAGATTGTGGAGAAATACGGGCTTTGCAATACCAAGTTGGAGGAAATTGTGTGTTATGAAGCCTTCCAAACAGTGCTACGTTTTCCGTTTCAACATGTGTCTAGTATGAGTGTAGGGAATACGGGTTTTTCGGCCATGCTGATACGTTTAAAAGTATCAGATTCTGGGTGGAGGAGCTGAGAAAGATGAAAATCATACCATCCTATCAACAATAAATAATTAAGCCCGTAAGTGTCTATGTCTATGTTTAAGTCAATTATGTAAACAATAATTAAAGACTACGTGGTCTAGAATTATATAATAATTTTTCTTTATCAACGCTCAACTTCGTAATACTTCACAAGTAAAAATTGGTATTCAATAATTAATTTTGAAACAAATTAAACACCCTATATTTCATATTTTCTCGCATGAAGTTCAGTTTTATTTATGGAGAAATTTAACGGCGACCCTACAAATTTAGAGGGTTCGTTTGAAATGTGCAATTGTTAGACCAATAATATTTAACTTTCCGTAATATCATCATTTTGCACTTGCATAAGTAGTTGGTTAGAAGCATTAGAGGGGCTTTTGGGTAGAAGAACAACAAACTGTTTCTGTACATTGATATATAAAATTTTGTTAAGCCATATTAGATGGGAGCTTTACGGTGTGAGAAAATAAAGTATATAAAAAGATAAGAGAGAAATAAATAAATAATAGAGTAAAAAAGTAAATAATATTTTTTAAATCAATTTATATTTTAATTATTTAAATAAAAATTATGTAATTAAATACATAATATTTGAAATAAAATAAATACATAATTAAAAGTAAGTATATAATTTTAAAACAATATTTTTTTAGATTAAACATTAATTAAAATAATAAATTTAAATTAAGTAAATAAAATAAAACATTTAAAGTAATTAAATAAAAATCTAAATTAACTTTCATTCGAATAAATAGGATTTTATTCGAATGAAAGTTACGTTTTCTTTACTTTATTTGAATAAATAAAAAAAATTTGCATTTCTTTGAAAGTATTCAATAAAAGTTTTATTTGTTTGAACAAATAAAAACTTTTTTTGCATAAGTAACAAAAGTATTATTCGAATATGAGTATGTTCTATTTGAATATAAATAAATTTTTAGAGTGTATTATTTATTTTTGTAGTAATTTGTAAAAAAATAAGAAAGTGTGATACTCATATCTTTGAAGGATCCGCGCGCTTTAAGGGGATGATGATCAAAAATCCGTATTATATATATGAGACCCATATAAATAAGGAAAAAAAAGACTCGGTGAAGGTCAGGTTATTCTCATTCTTGAATGTTCTAAGTCAGGATGATGTCTAGATTTTCTTAGAATTCACATCACTCAAGATTTTTCGGCTGTTATCCCCTTACTGGAACATTGACAAATTTTTTTATATCAAACAATTATAGTTTTTTTTTCTTTGCTATCTAGCCTATTTTTTTACTATTTCATATCTACCAAACAAGGTGTTAATTTTGTTGAATTAGACGCTCACTTGTATATCGCGTTTTAAAAGTACATACTACATAACTTAGCATAGGAGGAGATATTAACTAATTTATTTCATCAATAATACTTAATAAATGTGAGCAGTATAAACACGAGATGTTAACTAACTTATTTATTTTATTTGTTTGATATTTTCGTTTGACATTAAAAAAAGCCAATAAAAACATTTCTCTTTGTTTTATCCACTTAATCTGTCTATATAAATAAGAAAAAATCAAAATTGTTGTTAAAATAAAAAATAGTTAAGCTTTTTATCTTTTAAGAAAAAATTGAAACTGGCAACGCTAGTTCTTCCTTGTTTTTGCCTTTTTGGTTTGCTTCCATCTTATTTTTTTAGGCGTGGCCGAATTGTATACTTTATATGGCTGTCCTGTGTTTTTCCATTTCATTAGAACATCTTGAATGAGAGTTGCTTATAAACAATTTTTTATGTCACATTACTGTCAAATCAGCTCTAGTTCACTTTATGGATTGTTTAAATTTTAGCAAAGTTACTTCTATAAATAATTCTGTTAAAATTTAAGCAATCTATAAAGTGAACCAGAGTTGATATAGCAGTAATGTTGTAGAGAGAATTACTTATAAGCAACACCAAGAAAACCTCGATCTCACGACGCACTACTTTTTGCTCCCATGCTTTTTTAGCACTCATTTTGTTTTGTCTTTTTCTCTCACTTTATCCTATTCTCATCGATAGTATTGCACTCTCTTGATCTCCAATTGTTGGTTGATCAATAACTTTATCTAGAGGTATTATTTTATTTTAATGATATTATTGTTACATCTTTATCTTTATAATAATTAAAGGAAAGAAGTGGATATTTTTAACCCAAATGCAGTAATTTAACTTTTCAATGATTATGCTTAATTTTGAAAATTGATATAATTATCATGAGTTAATTTTGAAATAATTGCATTAAATAGACATAAAGTGAAAACTTTTCTGTTTTGTGAAGTGTAAGCCGTCAAAAGTTTGCATCTGTATATTTTTATCCTTTGATGAATGCAAGTTTGGTTGTTTTCATCTAAATATCCTAGTTTAACCTCCTTTTTTCCCTTATATATTAGAAATATTTCATTCGACAAATGCAATGTTATATTTTTAAGATGCTTATGTTTCATCACCTTAGTTTTGAAAATGAATATATTCTCTTTGATCAACTTTTTTTTTAGTATCTAAAGATCAGTTAAAACCGTTGTCTTATAATTAATTTGGTAATTTTTTTTAATGTTCTAAAACTTTTGAAATTATTCTACATTAAGACGCTAACGAGACAATTAATGATTTTTTTATGACCAAACAATGGTTGGTCTAAGGTTTTAGACCATTGTATTATCTAAAGGACATAATCTCTTGTTTGTGTCTCATCTATTTTACATATCCTAATATAATTTTGAGAGTGATTAACTCAAAGCTACACTAAATATTGAAAAGTAGTAGGCAATGAAGAATCACAATTTATGAATTAAAATAATCGAAAATTATCATGACAAGTTAGAAGGATCACAAAACCCACAATCTTGTTTGATCAAATTATTTAACAAGTAGTTTGAGGTTTGTTGTTCTAAAAAAGTTTCATTTTAAATGATTGAATCTGTAATCAAATTATAAAGACGAAATTCTTAAAAGGTATGCAAATTATAACGACCCAATTTCTACCTTAAGAGATTTATTGTCTTTTTCGGTGTGTTTTTTTTTCTGTGTTTTATTTATTTTTTTAAGAAATAAAATTTTTATAATTTAAGTAATTAAATTTGGGATAATAAAATTTTCTTAAAACAAAGTGTATGTTTAAAAAAGGGAGAAATTTATAGTTTGGTGAAGTTACTCATTTTCAGTAAATTTTAAGTATTTAAAAATTAATATTCATTTAATTAATTAATTAAAATATGTTGTTACAAGATTTAGTTGATTAATGTTATTATAAGTATGTCTGAAATTAATAATAATAATAATAATAATATTATTATTATTATATAAAATATATAATATATAGTTGTTGTAAGGGTTTAGACTGGTCAAATAATTTGGTCTGACATGAGAGAGAAACTTAAGATTTATAGGTTTAATATAAATGTTTGGCCCAAAATTAGAATTTCAGTATATTTTCATAATTTTTTAGATGATTCACAATATTAAGTTTGAATCTGGTGCTATCATTATAATTTTAATAAATAAAAAAAAATAGTTAACATTACAAACTTACTTTGAGAAACAACGTATTAACAAAAGGGGGAAATAACATAAAATAGTTTTAATAGAAGAATACTAATTGTAATGGCCAGAGAAATTGACCACAAAATCCATAATACAAAAGATTAAGAACATGGCAATTAAGCAACTCTCCTGTTTTGAATACGAATGACAATTAAAATTTGTTGCTGCAATTTGAGAAAAAGAATCTCAAAATCGTAGTTACTATTTGCTTAATATACCTGCCAGGTAAATATTGAAAAGCATGAATTAAGTAAGTATTGTGTTAGATTCTATTTTATTATCTCTTTAGGCACCAATGGATACGAAATCCTGGTACTGATTTGTCATTGAATGATAAATAATCCTTTATATAAATTAAAACATTTTTTTTAACAACAGTTTTTTCTAGAATTATTATTTCTTTGAGCACCAATTAATGGATATGTATTATAAGAAAATTTCAAATTAGAGAGGGAAAACTACAAAAAAAAGTCAATTTAACAACTGAAATTAGCGACCAATTTTTTTCGTTGCTAATAGCGACATAATTAATGACCGAATTTGATTTGGTTGCAAATTTATTTAGTGACCAATTTAGCGACCGAATTTTTTAATGACAAATAATCGGTCGCTAAAATAGCGACGGAATGGTTTCGGTCGCTAAAAAAATAAAAATAATATTATTTATAATAATTTTAGCGACCAAATTAAAATTGGTAGCTAAAAAAATAAAAAATTATTATTATTTATAAAAAATGTAGCGACTAAATTAAAATCCCTTACACAATCAATAAAATGACTCATTCTATCCAACTCATATTTTCTTAAGTTTCGCGTCATTTTATGTTTTATGCTAAATAGAGGTCGAGTTCGAACCAACTTATTTTGCTCTCATTCAAGGTCGAGTTCGAACCTTCGTACAATTCACTTTGCTAAAATCTGAGGTCAAATTCGAACCCCGACATAATTAACTCAAGGTTGAGTTCGAACCTTCACAAAAATTCGAGGTCGAATTCGAACCCTGGCATAATTAACTCAAGGTCGAGTTCGAACCTTCACGAAAATACGAGGTCGAGTTTGAACCTCAGCATGATCAACTCAAGGTCGAATTCGAACCTTCACAAAGAGTTACTTAACGAAAATCTGAGATCGAGTTCGAACCTCGGTATGATTAACTCAAGGTCAAGTTCGAACCTTCACAAAGAGTTACTTAACGAAAATCCAAGATCGAGTTCGAACCTCGGTATGATTAACTCAAGGTCGAGTTCGAACCTTCACAAAGAGTTACTTAACGAAAATCCGAGGTCGAATTCAAACCTCGGCATGATTAACTCAAGGTCGAGAGTGGATCTTGGAACAATCCACTCCGTCCTGAAACTCAGTCTGAATATCACAAAGAATAAAAATACACAACAGACATTGAACGTGAGCCTCAAAACGCGCAAACACGAAAAAATCAAGCCTAACAGAAAAGGAAAAGAAAAGCGCAACGGCAAATAGACAGAAAATATATATACATATACAACAATGTTTTCGAAGTTCCACACTTGAATTCGAGAAGAAAAACAAAGCAACAAAAATTAAACTAGGCTA